CTCTAGGTTGACACAGGAATCTGATTCTGTTGCTGTATATTTCACAAAATTGAAGGAACTATGGGCTGAATATGATGTGCTTGTACCTTTTCCAAATTGTGGTTGTAAGAAATCGAAGGAATATGTTGAGCAATTGCACCAACAGAGATTGATGCAGTTTTTGGATGGATTGAATGACACTTATGAACAAGCTCGAAGGCAAATTTTGATGAAGACGACTGAACCAACACTGAATCAGGCATATGCTATGATCACACAGGATGAGAGCCAACAGTCTGTGGGAGGCAGTGCTATGGCAAAGAAGGTAGATCCTATGGCAATGCAAGTTGGGAGAGGTCAAGGTTTTCGAGGGAAGAAACAGTTCCTACAGTGTGAGCATTGTCATATGAAAGGCCACACTAAGGAGAACTGTTTCAAAATAATTGGATATCCTGAGGATTTCGGAGGAAAGAAGAGTTATCAATCTAAGGAGTATAGGCCCAAGGGACATTATGTTGCAGCCAACAATGTGGAGCTATCGGGATCTTCAAACTCACAAGGAACAACATTGCAGAAAGGAGACTATTTCTTTACTGAGGCATAGTACCAGCAGATACTTCACCTTCTTAATAGAGATGCTGCAGCTTCAGATACACAGACACAAGCAAACATGGCAGGTAACATTGCATCTCTTACTGCAAAAGTGCATAATGATAATTGGATATGGATTCAGGGGCCACACATCACATAGCATCATCATTAGATCTTCTTCAAGATGTCATGAACATAGATAATCATAAAGGAGAAAAGGTGAGACTACCAAATGGGGATAGTACTGATGTTACACATGTTGGTAGTACACAAATTTCTGAAGAAACTAAACTGGACATTGTGTTGTATGTCCCAGATTTTAAGTTCAACTTAATGTCAATCTCAAAGTTGACTAAGGACTTACAGTGTGGTGCTTTATTCCTGCCCAAAATATGTGTATTTCAGGATCTTTACACTAGCAGGATGAAGGGGATTGGTAAGGAGACTGGTGGTCTTTACCTGATAAGAGGAAGAAGAACAACGCAGATAGCTGCTCATATCAATTCAGTGGAGAGAAATAAAGACAGAGATACTGGAGAACTCTGGCACAAACGATTAGGACATCCTTCATTACCAGTAATGCACCATATTTCTTTTCTGCATAATAAGATAGACAATGTTATACACAACAAGTGTTCTGTTTGTCCATTAGCCAAGCAACATAGGCTAGCTTTTCCAAATAGTGAACATTTAAGTACTGCACCTTTTCAACTGGTGCACATGGATGTATGGGGACCTTATAAGGTAGCTACTCATGATAATAAGCACTATTTTCTTACAGTAGTTGATGATTTTACTAGAGCAACCTGGATTTTTCTTATGCAATTGAAAAGTGAAACAATTATATTCCTCAAACAGTTTTTAGTATGGTGCAGAATCAGTTTGGTATTTGTATTAAAACTGTTAGAACAGATAATGGGAAGGAATTCTTTAACCATCAGTGGAATGATTACTTGACAAGACATGGAGTCATTCGCCAGAGCAGCTGTGTGTACACTCCACCGGAAAATGGAGTGGCTGAGAGAAAACACATACATATTTTAGATACAACAAGGGCCTTGAAATTTCAAGCTGGCATACCAAGTAGATTCCGGGGAGAATGTGTTCAAACAGTTGTTTATCTTATAAATAGATTGCCCACTAGGGTATTAGATGGTAAGAGTCCTTTTGAATGATTGTATGGAAGACAACCATCATTATCACATCTAAGGGTCTTTGGATGTCTATGCTATGCCACAAACGTAGTCAAGGAAGACAAATTTGGTCCTAGAGCCAGTGAAGCAGTCTTGATGGGATATTCCACTACTCAAAAGGGATATAGACTATTTGATCGAAGGACTTACAGTTTTTTTGTAAGCAGGGATGTCATATTCAGAGAATAAGTATTTTCTTTTCTTACTTGTAACGACCCGGCCAGTCGTTTTTTGAATTTATGCCCCGATTCCCCATTTACTGCTTCCCCTAAGTTCATTTCTGCTATTTTGGTATGCCGGGACGTTCGGTGTTAAGTTTTGGGACACTAGTCCCTAAATGAGAGCTTAAGTGTTGAAAAATAGTCCGTAATCAGAATAGTGTGAGGACGACCTCGGAATGGGAATCCGATGGTTCCGTTAGCTCAGTTAGGTGATTTCGGGGTTGGGAGCGTGTTCGGAATGTATTTTGGAGGATCGTAGCTCATTTAGGCTTGAAATGCCGAAGTTTGAATTTTTGAAGTTCCGGTCCGATAGTGAGTTTTTAATCCGAGGGTCAGATTGGAATTCCGGAAGTTGCAGTAGCTCCATCATGTCATTTGGGATGTGTGCGCAAAATTTCAGGTCATTCAGACGTGTTTTGGTTAGGTTTTTGATCGAAAGCGTATTTGGAGGAAACTTGTAGTTCTTAGGCTTGAATCTTTGATTTAATCGGGTTTCCGGTGTTGTTTTAGGTGTTTTAAGGATTGGTGCAAGTTTGAATAAGGTATTAGGTGGTATTGGTGCTTTTGGTTGAGGTCCCAGGGGCCTCGGGATGATTTCGGGTGGTTAACGGAAGAATTTTTGAAGTGTTGCAGCAGCTGGTTTTTTCTCTCTTCTGGTATTTTTGCTTCTGCGGCTTGGGAACCGCAGAAGCGGGGCTCCATAAGCGGCCATCCCATCGCAGGAGCGGAATTTGGTCTCCCTTCAGTTTCCGCAGGTGCGGAAGTTTGACCGAGAAGCGGTTACACACCTGCGAGGTATAAGTCGCAGATGCGGCCCTGGGTCATTGGTGAGAAACCGCACAAGCGGTAAGTATTTCGCAGAAGCGGCTACCGCAGGTGCGGTTTAAGACCGCAGAAGCGGAACCCCTGGATTTTAGTTAATAGCCACAGAAGCGGCATTTGTTCCGCATAAGCGGGACCGCAGATGCGGTCCCTTGTCCGCGGAAGCGGAAATCCCTGGGCAGAAATAGAAATTTCTAGGGTTTGAGTTCATAAGTTACAAAAATCAATTGAGAACTCGGGTAAGGGCGATTTTGAGTGGGTTTTGAAGAGAAGACTATTGGGTAACGTTTCCTTAATCCCTTCTAGTTATATTTCATCATTATATAGTTAAATGTATCATTGGAATTCGAATTTAGGATCAAAATTGGATAATTTGGGGTAAAACTTCATTGGCTAAATTATGGAGTTTTGAGTGAGCATTTGACCTCCGATTTGGGAGATTTTTATATGGTTAGACTCGTGAGAGTACGAGGGTTCTGAAAATATGAAAATTATTCGATTCCGGGGCGTTGGCCTGGAGGGCATTTTGTTCATTTCACCTAATTTTACGCCGTAGCTTTGAATTTATTAGCAAATCCAGGTGTTTGCGATGTTATTTACAATGTGTAATTGAATTGAATAGATTTGAGCCATTTGGAGTCGGATACTCGTGGCAAGAGCGTGATTTCTAGTTGATATTGAGCCGGTTCGAGGTAAGTGGCTTGTCTAACCTTGTGTGGGGGACCTTTCCCCTTAGGATATGATCTTTGAATATTTGAATGCCTCGTACGTGAGGTGACGAGCGCGTACTTGAGCTAATTGTTGTAAATCCGTTTTCTACTTGAAGTATTTAAATTGAGCTTTCTTGTTTTACTTGTTCGTTTNTGCTGAAGCAGAATACAGAAGCATGGCATTTGCAGTGGCTGAGATTGTGTGGTTGAGAGGTCTATTTGCAGAACTTGGAACTCCAATTCAACAACCAGCCAAGTTGTTCTCAGATAGTAAGGCAACAATTCAGATTGCAGCTAATCCAATCTTTCATGAACGTACGAAGCACATTGAGATAGACTGCCACTTTATCAGGGAGAAACTCAAAGAAGGCATATTGTGCACTCAGTATATATCCACCCATCTTCAGCAAGCTGACATCTTTACTAAAGGATTAGCATCTCCACAGCATCACTTTCTACTTAGCAAGCTTGGTGTGATAAATATTTTACACCCTCCAGCTTGAGGGGGAGTATTGAAATGAGGAGTTAATTGTATAGATGTACATATAATAGGGACCTAAGTGTATACATCTAGAAGTTAGGGGTGTTAGTATAATTATAGTTAGTTGATAACTAACTATTAGATAGAGTGTATATATTTTGTATCTCTTTCGGCTCAATTGAGCATTAATGAAAATAGTTTCTTCTTCTCCAAAGCTTCTTCTAACATGACTAATGTCATTCTCTTTGTCTTTAGTAGCTATAAATGTGTCGATGATGGGAAACTATCCGAATATAGATCCAGTATTTGTGATATCTATTTCTAACACAGGTTGACTTAGTGGCTAAAGTAGAGTTTTTGAGATTAGAAGAGGTTTCAAGTCCGAATATCACTAAATGTATTGTACTGATTGTGGACTAACTGACGATGTCATTTGAGGGAAAATGACACTGTATAGCTGTAACAATGTATATTTTTTGTATATATATATATATATATTCTGTATGTTATACAAATTTTATATACTTTTTCGACTATGGAATATAAATAATTTCTGGTGCGGGTTAAAAGTGAAGAAAGCCTGTCATTTAATGGAAATTCTAAAGAACAAAAAATCACCAAAATACGTACTATATAATGTATATTATGAAGCATAATATGTATTGATAATCTAATTACTCATTCTTCTAAGAAGATCTCTTTAAATACCTTCTTCTACCCAGCATAACTGAATCTAGCTATTCGAAAAAAAGAAAATAATTGAATCTTGTAAACATCATTCAAAAGGAACTATTACATCATGTTATACTTACACATAACTGCTGATTCCATATTAATAAAAGAAAATACAACGTATCCCAGAAGTATCTGGCTATCTGCTAAGGTATATAACGGAGATTACTCATTTTGGCAAGTAATACAATAAAAAAGGATTAATTCTTCAAATAATACTCCACAATACACTATTGTCAACCATCTAAGTACTTTTGCAGTCTTATTTGCTTCATTGTATCCTTAAATTATTTTCAAAGAGCAAATTGATGAAGTCCTTCTCACGTACTGCAGTTGGAATTTTGCAACAAAAAGGATTAACCTTTGCTATCATCCCTTCATGAGTTTTAGGCATCGAATTAGAAATACACATAGCTTGCTGAATAAAAGGAAGCTGAAGTAGTTGTTCACTTGTCCATCTTCTTCGAGGATCATTTATAAAACACCTGTATAAAAAATCTCTAGCAATCTCAGAAACATTACTCGGAATCACAGGATCTTCATTCATTATCTGCCATTGCAAATCTTTAGTATCGCGATAAATCCAAACGCGATTCCCTGTCATCATCTCTGCCACAGTGCACCCTAGTGACCATATATCATAAGCTTTTGCATGAAAACCATACGTCAAAGATTCTGGGGGTGCATATAGCAGAGTTCCCCGATTGCTCAATGGAGTTCCAGTCATATATGCCATTCCATCACCAATTCTCAACGATAATCCAAAGTCAGCCAACTTCAACGTGTGCATGCCACGTTCATTAGTATCGAAAACCAAAACATTAGCAGGTTTAATATCACAATGAACCCACCCTTTTTTATGAACATCTTGAATACCCTTTAAGAGTTGATATGCATAGAAACCTATTTCCACTTCTGACATCTTTCCTCTCTTCGAACTGATCAAATCGTGTAGTGATCCACCACATGCATATTCAAGAAACAGATTATAAGTTGGAATATTATTCTCGATACTTACGTCTGCTCCAAAGAATTGAACCACGTTAGGACTACCTCTTAGAGTTTCCAAGATATGTGCTTCTCTCTGGAGTGAAATTGAACGCCAGAGATCTGTACATTTTACAGCAGCAACTGAAGCACGTAACAAAAACGAATCAATTTTTACTGCATAGTATACTTTGCCGTAAGAGCCCGTACCAAGAACGGAAATTTTTTTCCACTCCATAATTCGTCTTCTTACTTTCTTCTCTCTCTATTAAGCTAAATGAATGATTGTGAAATATAACAAATGGTAGCTAATTTATAGAAAACCCTTAATCCTTATTTGATGTGGAAAAGGTTTCCAATAAGTAGACGTTAAGGTGCTTTTAGTTAGTTTTCTTGGTATCTTTGTATTTCCAAATTGTAAAATCCTACTTTGACGAGGAGAGGGTAATTTCCCCCGTTAGCGTAGTGCTGTATTCCTCTCTACATGGATTTCCTAAATGCACCAATGTGATTTAATTTCTTGCGCATTACTCAACCTTTTCCTAGTTAAATCTTGATAAAACTTTTATTTAGGGTTAATTTAACAACGGCAACTACTAGTAAATAATATATAATTAAAAAGGATTAATTAATTAACGGTATTAGAACATTCATTATTATTTTCTTAACGATAGGTACAATATTTTTAGTTCCTACAACTACATATTACACTCTCAAAAGATTACAAAACATTTATCGTGAACTAAGATATTCTACTTTTTTTATTGGTTAAACTTAAATTTTTTATTTAACCAAGTATACTAATATGTACAAATGACTCATGGGCTCATGAGTCAGCTCTCAGTAATCTCTGTAACTATTCTAATTGTTCCTTATCCAGCTAACTACTATAATTACTAACATTATCTAGTGATAAAATATTTAACACTTTCGAACTTATACTGGGTAACTATTGAGACCATTGAGTTGCTGTTGCCACTTGCCATTCTTCTGACCATAGATATGTAGTTGAAGTATAATTTCTTCGATCAACTGCTTTCTCGTCTTTGGTTTCTGAACCTTCTTGCATTCCTCTCAACTCATATGTTATAGATAGTTGCTACAAATAAGAAGTCAATGATGCCTGCTCTTGCTCTAGAGTTATTAGTTCTCTTGGATGCCCAAATGACCTCCTCATCCCATCCTCTGATTGGTCTCCTGTCTCCTAGCCAGTGTAGCAAAGAGCTCCATATAGACTTTGAATAGTCGCAGCAAAAGAAGAGGTGCTCCAATGTCTCAACTGCATTTGTGTTACATAGGACACAGTCCTGCACCACCTGAATTTCCCATTTCGGGAGCCTGTCCACCATTGATAACTTCTTATGAACTGTCAGCCATAGAATAAACTGATGCCTAGGAATTATTCCTTTCACTAGGACCAAGCTTTTCCATGAGACTTTTGGAAGTGGAGGTGTAAAAGATTGATAGGCCTTCTTGATACTGAACTTCTCTCTATCTTCAAATGCTTCAAGGCGGTCCATAAAATTACCAGATTGAGTAATTCATTTCCTTGCATCAATATCTTCGTAACTAACCAGCTGGCTTGACTTTGAGTTGGTATGTTGTTCAGCTCCCTGTCTTTTATGTATATGCTATGGATCTATTGCGCCCAAAGTTTGTCCTTTTTTCCCAAGGCCCACAGTAGCTTGCAGATTGCAGCTTTGTTCCAGGTAAGAAATTCAATATATTTAATGAGGAATTTACACGGAATACAACTTATTTAATACTTATTTAAATAAGTTACAACTACTTTTAAAAAATTACATAAATGCAATTTATTTTAAAATCTACAACTTTTAATATTCCTAATATATCTTTATTGAGGCTCTCTCACCTAAAACTTAACCTTATATCTCTCTTGAGATTTTATCACAGAACTACATATCCCTACACTCGTTTTAATTTTTCAAAAAACTTCCTTTTCTCTCTCTTCTAGTTTTTTTTAAAAATGATNAATGCTTAGCCTTATGCAGATAGGGAGGCTTAGCTTAGCCTCATGCAAGGATCGAGACAGAGCTTAGTCTCGTGCAATGGAAAAATAGCAAATAGGAGAAGAATATTTCTTAGCTGGAGATATACTTGCGCTTGGCGGCCTGGTTGTTAGTGATTTTGATATGTGTATATTTGCGAATACTCCTGTTCACTGTACCTGCATCCGAAGAAAAATCATGGGTATTGCTGCAAATTGGGAAATTCATCTTCCCTGCGAACTTCATTATCCTAGATTATGAGGCTGATGAACTAGTTCCAATCATATTGGGATGACCTCTCTTGACTACTGGTGATGCAATTATTAAAGTGAGAGAGGGAAAAATGATTTTGAGGGTGGATGACGAGGAAACAGTCTTTAATGTATACAAAGCAATCCAACTTCCCCGCCACTATAAGGAGCTCTCGATGATATCTGTTGTGGAGGTGGATGAGCAAATTCTCGACACGAGTGTATATCTAGACGATTCTCTAGAGAAAACACTTATGTTGTTCGATAGCTTGGTGATTGATGATGAGATTGAGGAGATGGTGCATATCCTAGATGCATCGTGCGCTTACATGCAGGGGATACACCCGCTTGAGCCCCTGAATAGGCCAAGTGGGCCTCCTCCGAAGCCGTTAATTAAGGAAGCTCAAAAATTGGNATATTAATGATATATACTTGTTAATTATACGTACAACAATAGATGTATATTACAATAAATGTGATTGGCATATTAACTGCATATATAAATATATTGTATGTATATAAGTAATATATGTGATATAATCTATTTATATACGTGTATAATATAATTATATACCATCAATATATCATTATTTATAGGATATATGATTTTTTGAAACTGATTTTAGCAGATTTGTTATTGATGGTCTTTATATAATATTTACTTTATTTTCACCAAAAAAATAGTATTGAAAAAGTTAAGTTAAGACACTATTTTAGAAGCAATAAAACAAATGCCGAAAAGGATGATGATAGATTACTATTAGGAAATGAGTGATTGTTTTGATAAGTTTTCCACTCTTTTAGGCTTAAAATATGGCATTATTCAATTGTTTCGGTTGGATTTTGCCAACTGTGGTATAGATAGGAGAAAATCTCTTGTTGTATATAATGTAAATTTGCAACTGGTTGTAATAAATGTTATTTATTCTTATAGGCTTGTAGATATGAAAATTTCCCATATTTAATCCTCCTGCTTCATTAGGTAGACATACTGTACTCCAGGCTATTAGGGCTCTTCTTGAGTATTCATTACTCTTAGTCCATAGAGAATTCCTACATACATTTTGTCACCATTGTCAAGATCTTCTTAGGCAATAGGAACACTTGCGCCCAATATGTCGCATCTCAAAGAGTACACTTTTGATGAGTTGTACTCTATCACTGTATGATAGGAACTTAGTGGTCCAACATTGAACTCTAGCAATTATCTTTTCAACTAAGGGAAGGCATTGGGAAGGTATTGGTGAATAGAAAGCTTCCTTGAAGACAATGGGATACCCAAGTATTTAAATGTCAACTCCCCAATAGTGAAATGCATATCTTTCTTTTGGATTTTCTACTTAAACCAAATGAAAGTTAAATTAAAAAGCATACATATGTGTAAAAGTGATGATATTTATAGTTTTAATTATAAATAATATAGTCTCTTTAATTAAAGATATTTAAATCAATCAGTTCAAATATTATGACACCTTTTAATTTGAATTTCCAAAAAAAAAAAAAAACACTAAAGTTTGGAATATAATCTAGAAGTAAATGTTTATGACTAAGCACTACATGAAAACACGAATCTACGAACGTAGCTGTTTATTTATTAGTGTGATGTATGCACCTGTTGGACTCACTTTCATTTAACTTGTTTTATGAAAATCCAAATGGTTTTTGAAGTATTTATCTTATTTGAATAGGTAGCTACAGCTTAAAGATCAATGAGATTTGATTTTCATAAGCAAAAAAGTTCAAAATTATAGTTAGATAAAGTGTGTATCCACTCCAATATCCTATTTCCAACACATATTTCAAAGTAAGGTCAAGACATATCAAGTCATCTAATTTAATAAAATGAATCACAATGGTTAATGAAGAATGGAAAACTAGAATATTTTATATATCAGTGGACAAGGGCGGAGCTAGAGCATGTTACGGGTTCGGCAGAACCTAGTAACTTTATTCCAAACCCTATATTTGTCTTAAGAAATCTGTTGAATATGTACAAATTATAAATTTAAAACCAGGTGATGTTGGGCATATTTCTATATGTTTTGATGTTACTTTACCCATGTTTTAACCACTTTTTATTGCTATTTGGTGTTAAAAATGCCCAATATGGTTTAATTATTAGTTTTATGACTAATTGAGTTGTGTGTGATGATTTAAGGTGTTTGGAGAGCAAAAATATGAAGAAAAGATGCTCCAACTAGAGGAGAAGAGGGTGGATGTGTCGCATCCAACCTTGGGAAGAAGGTTACTTGGTGCACCCTTAGCAGTGAAGTCGGCCCATAGCACCCCCATAGCATCCGCACCTGGGCAAAGCTGAGATGGAGGAAAAAGGGTGGATGTGAAGCATCCACCCTAGCATGCGAAGCTGAGAAGCGGAGGACGAGGTGGATGCGAAGCATCCACCCCAACATCAATCTCTGTAGCTGATTCAGACTAGGAAAAAGAAAACTTTGGCCCACAACTTTTGGTACGCAATATATAAGCCAAAAACACCTCTTTTAGGACATCTAACATATCGAGAAGGGAGAAAAAGCCACAACAAAGCTTGAAAACCACGGAATTCGTCTTGAGTTCTTACTTTTTCCTTCTTTTATTGATTTTTATGTATTCTTGGGAATTACTTGAAATTGTTACTATGAGCATGCGTGGCTAAGAACCCTATTGTTCTAGGGTCATGGGTGAAACATGAATGTTGATGTTTGAAGTTTAATTTGACGAAGTTGATTTTATCATATTGGGTTGTTTATTTAATTCTGTTTTTAATTATTTTGCTGAGTAGCTAACAGTGAAATACTATCTACGAATCTAGAGTTGAACTCAAAAGTGGGAATTCTATATTGCATATAGAATTAAATAGAGCAAGTTCTTAAACCCGGCATCGGAGAACAGATTCGCAATTAGGATAGAAATATACCTAATTATCTTGCTTGGTTAAAATACAGGAAGTATAAATGCATTTTTGTTAATCTTAATTCCATAGACATATAGGCATTAAGTTAGCTTGAATAGGAGAGTAAGAACTCGACAGATTCTTATGAGAAATATCAACCCTATTAATCAACAATCCAGATAAATCAATTAGTCATTTTAAGCCAAGAACTCAACATGATTGTTAGCTACCGTGACCCTGGAATATTCTCTCCCACTGATTGTCATTCGAAATTGCTATTTGTTTCGGTTGATTTCTAGTTAATTCATTGCTCGATAGTTTATGTAGTAAATTAGTCACTTCTATATTGTGAGAAATCTCTTGAATCAATAAGTTAATTGAGTTTGAATCAATCAATAGTTAATCACAAGTCTTCATGGGAACGATACTCTACTTACTACTTTATTACTTGACGACCGCGTACACTTGCGTGAGTGTTTTTGGTCGCAACAAGTTTTTGGTGCCGCTGCCGGGGACTTAGAAATTAGCTACTTGACTGAGTTGAGCTTTTATTAGTTATTTATTCAAGCTGTAATTTTTAGTTTACCTTGTTTGTGTTAACGCAGGCTCTTCTCTTGAATGCGGAGGAGTAGGAGCGCAAACAATCTCCTTCCTCTTGATCCTGAAATTGAACGAACACTTCACAGAGTGAGGAGGGAAGTCGAAGCAAGAACTAGAATAGAAGGAGAGTTGGACATCGTAGTTCAACCATAGCAAATAGAGATGGCAGGTAATGAAGAGCGTGCAGTGATTGAAGCCGCAAGGCCCAACCTAGCTAATATGACTCAGGCTATTGTGAAGCCTGAGATCACAGGGCATTTTGAACTCAAACAGTACATGGTATAGCTGATTCAGTCCATAGGGCAATACGTGGGTCTATCTCATGAAGACCCGCTGAGGCACATTAAGAATTTCTTGAAAATTACGGACACCTACAATTATCCGAACGTTTTCAAGGACTATGTCAGGTTGACACTATTTCCCTTTTCACTACTGGGGGAAGCTAAGGAACGGTTGTAAAAGGAGCCCGCGAACTCAATCCACACTTGGGATGACCTAGCAAGGAAATTCTTAATCAAGTTTGTCCCCACTAAGAAGACAAAGTCATTGAGGAGTCAGATTCTTGGGTTCGAACAACGGGATGGTGAGACACTTCGTCAAGCTTGGGAAAGATACAAGAAGCTACTCAGAGACTACCCGCATCATTGTCAGACTGATGAGGTATTGGGACACACTTTTGTTGATGGGCTAGATGAGGCATCAAAGATGAATCTTGATTCAGCTTGTTGGGGTAGTTGCATGGCAAAACCGTATAGTGAAATCCAACTCTTGCTAAATAACTTCACTGCATAATTGGCAAGGAGATGGGGATTCACGAAGGGCAATTAAATAGAAAGCAGCCGGGTTGATTGAGCTTGATGACTTTTCAGCCATGAGAGCCGATATAGCCAAATTGGCAAATCAGATGAATAGAATGACAATGCAACAAACACAACAGATGCAACATGTACAACAAATGTCTATTTGCTGCGAACTATGTGGTGACAGTCATATGAGTGACATGTGCCCCATAAATCCTGAATCTATATACTATTTGGGGCAACATAGCAGAGGTCCAATGAATCAGCATGCACAATATGGGAACACTTACAACCCAAATTGGAAGAATCATCCCAACTTCTCATGGGGCGAAAATCAGCCGAATCAGAATCATTATAGACCCTAAGGAAATTTCAATCAACCTTAGAAGCCACCTCAACAGGTAGAAGAGACTACGAATGATTTGTTAAAGAAGTTGTTGCTTGACAATCAACAACTCAGGACCGATTTCAGAAATCTTGAAAGGCAAATGGGGCAGCTAACAACATATCAAAATACTAGACCTGCAGGCGCTCTCCCCAACGATACAGAGAAGAACCAAGTTAATGCAGTTACACTCAAAAACGGGAAGGAACTAGAGGATGTGCCAAAGAAGAGAAAGGACAAGCCTATACCCGAGGGGGAATTGATTCCTAAAGCAACACACGAGTCAAAGAAAGATGAAGCAAGTTCAGAAGCAGTGGAGACTGCAAGGCCACCACCACCTTTCCCCCAGAGATCGCAGAAAAAGAATGATGATCGTATGTTCAGCAAATTTCTCTCTAAGTACACAAAAGATATAGTGGCTCACCAGAGGAGATTGACTGAATTCGAGACAATTGCACTTACTGAGGAGTGCACTTCAAGGGTCCAGAACAAGCTTCCTCAAAAGCTCAAGGATCCTGGCAGCTTCACCATCCATGTGCGAATTGGTAATATTGATGTGGGCCGTGCACATTGTGATTTGGGGGCAAGCATAAATCTGATGCCCTTGTCCTTGTTCAAGCAATTGGGTCTGGGGGCGCCAAGACCAACTACTGTGATGTTGCAGCTGGCTGACAGGTCCATAGCACACCCTGAGGGGGTGATTGAAGAGGTATTGCTGCAAATTGGGAAATTCATCTTCCCTGCGAACTTCATTATCCTAGATTATGAGGCTGATGAACTAGTTCCAATCATATTGGGATGACCTCTCTTGACTACTGGTGATGCAATTATTAAAGTGAGAGAGGGAAAAATGATTTTGAGGGTGGATGACGAGGAAACAGTCTTTAATGTATACAAAGCAATCCAACTTCCCCGCCACTATAAGGAGCTCTCGATGATATCTGTTGTGGAGGTGGATGAGCAAATTCTCGACACGAGTGTATATCTAGACGATTCTCTAGAGAAAACACTTATGTTGTTCGATAGCTTGGTGATTGATGATGAGATTGAGGAGATGGTGCATATCCTAGATGCATCGTGCGCTTACATGCAGGGGATACACCCGCTTGAGCCCCTGAATAGGCCAAGTGGGCCTCCTCCGAAGCCGTTAATTAAGGAAGCTCAAAAATTGGAGCTTAAACCCCTGCCCCCTCACCTTTAATATGCTTATTTGGGTGATTCTGACACTTGACCTGTTATTGTTTCTTCTGACCTGTCTAAATTGCAAGAAGAAAAGCTGTTAAGTGTGCTACGTGAGCAAAAAATGAGCAATTGGGTGGATGATGTCTGACATTAAAGGCATTAGTCCAGCTTTTTGCATGCATAAAATCCTCATGGAGGATGGACACAAGACAAGTGTAGAGCAACAACACCGACCAAATCCAATCATGAAATAGGTGGTAAGAAAAGAAGTGATTAAGTGGCTTAGTGCAGGTATTGTATTTCCAATCTATGATAGCAAATGGGTAAGCCCCGTCCAATGTGTCCCTAAGTAGGGTTGCTTATCGGGCGGATTGGGCGATTAGTTACTCTTAACGGTTTGGCTTATCGATTATCGGCTTTTAAATGTATTAATCCGCTAGTCACCCGATAAGATATCGGGCGGATTGGTATCGGTTTAGCTCTTGTCGGACGGTTATCGGGCGGTTTATCAGCCTAATTCAATCAAAATAAAATAAAATTTAGTCTCTGTATGTTTAAATAGGTGGTCGACGTACTAAGAGGGACGAAGCGGAAGGGACACCGTGATGGGTAAATCATCTATCTAGAATCTTATTTATGTTTATGCACATTGGCCTTAGTCCATGTGAAAGATTTCCAATTGGCTGTTGTTAAAACAAATGTTCGTCATACTTTGAATTCAAGGATGCCTTAAAATCTAGGCAAATTTGATGAAGCAGTGGTGTAACTGGTGTTGTTATCTTGTTTCAGACAGCAAATTCTGTCTTTTGTCACAGTTAGATGACTCCTTTTATTTGGCTTTCTTTTATTCTAATTCACTTTGATAGAGTACTGGAGGAAGAAGGGTTTTTGACTGTTTAATATATACATGGATAAAAATAAATTTTATATGTATATATATATTCTTAACGGGCTAACAGATTATCCGTTAAGAAAATTGAATAATCTGCCCCCAAACCGATAAGCCATTAATAAAAAAATTTCAATCTGTTCCCCGTCCGTTAAGCCGTTAACCCGATACCAATAAGACATTAAGCTTTGGTTCGATTCGGTTTTCGGTTTTCGGTTTCGGTTCGGTTTTGAACACCCCTATCCCCAAGAAAGGGGGGATGACTGTAGTGGTTAATGAAAATAATGACTTGATTCCCACAAGAACTGTCACTGGGTGGTGAATTTGCATTGATTATAGAAAATTGAACAATGCCACCCAAACGGACCACTTCCCCCTACCCTTTATTGACCAAATGCTTGATAGATTAGCTGGCCAGGAATACTACTGTTTCTTAGATGGTTATTCGGGCATGCACAGCAATAGAGAGTGTTGTTATGCTTACATAATAACCAAGAATACACAATATATGATGGTGAAATAGAGGTTATGATTCCAGGGGAATCAAGTTTGAGCAATAGACGATAATACTCAATACTGTCATGTCTCAAACAAACCATTAGCATCAAACACATTTGGGGTAGGGGTTTGGGATTCATAATAGGAGAAGATTATAGCATGATAAAGTAAACACTGAATTAAACACAAATAGTAGGCAGACATGCAAGTAAAGGTATTAAGTAAAACACATTGTTTGTGANCCTTTGGTCTCTGTAATGCACCTGCGACTTTTCAAAGGTGTATGATGGCTATTTTTACTGATATGGTTGAAATATTTGTGGAAGTGTTCATGGATGATTTTTCTGTGTTTGGATGTTCTTTTGATAATTGTTTGATGAACCTTGATAAAGTGCTTGCTAGGTGTGAAGAGACGAACCTGATACTAAACTGGGAAAAGTGCCATTTCATGGTACGTAAAGGTATAATTTTGGGGCACAAGGTGTCCAAAAATGGTTTGCAGGTGGACAAAGCAAAGGCGGAGGCGATTGAAAAATTACCCCCACCGGCATCCGTCAAAGGCATTTGCAATTTTTTGGGCCATGCAGGTTTTTATCGTCGCTTCATTAAAGACTTTTCAAAAATTTCTTCTCCTTTGTGCAGGCTTCTTGAGAAATATATCCCCTTCAAGTTTGATGATGCCTGTCTTAAAGCATTTGAGGAGCTGAAGGGAAGGTTGGTGACTGCACCAATTATCATTGCTCCAGATTGAGAGCAGCCATTTGAGTTGATGTGCGATGCGAGTGACATAGCAATCAGAGCTGTTTTGGGGCAAAGGAGAAATAAGATCTTTCACTCCATTTATTATGCGAGCAAAATTCTGAATCCAGCCTAGATGAACTACACAATTACTGAAAAAGAGTTGCTTGCAGTGGTGTGGGTGTTTGACAAGTTCAGATCCTATCTAGTGGGAACCAAAGTCATCATCTACATAGATCATTCAGCTATCAGATACTTGTTTGAAAAGAAAGACGCCAAGCCAAGGCTGATTCGTTGGATCCTCCTCCTGCAAGAGTTTGACTTAGAGATCCGAGATCGAAAAGGGACAGAAAATAAAGTAGCTGATCACTTGTCTAGATTAGAAAATCAGAGCCATGTAGCTGAAGGAGAGTCAATCAAAGAAACATTTCCCGATGAGCAGTTATTAGCAATCACCTCAAGTGAAGCCCCGTGGTATGCAGATTGTGTGAACTTTATTGCAAGTGGGGTGACACCACCAGATTTGACACCTGATAATAGAAGAAGATTTCTACATGATGTGAGGTTCTACATGTGGGATGAGCCATTCCTATATAAGCAGTGTGCAGATGAGTTGGTACGAAGGTGTGTTCCTGGGGAGGAGATGAACGCAATATTGCATGACTGTCATGCCTCTCCATATGGAGGTCATCACGGTGGGGATAAAACCATTCAAAAGGTGCTACAATCAGGTTTTTATTGGCCAAAATTGTTTAAGGATGCACATGCCTTTGTTAAAAATTGTGACAGGTGCCAAAGAACCGGAACGATCACGAAGAAGCACGAGATGCCTTTGCAGAATATACTAGCAGTAGAGCTTTTTGATGTTTGGGGGATTTATTTCATGGGTCCGTTCCCATACTCTAATGGTCACAGGTACATCTTGGTCGCGGTCGACTATGCGTCTAAGTGGGTGGAGGCCATCGCTCTTCCTACTAATGACACAAAGGTAGTGGTAAGCTTTGTAAAGAAGCACATCTTCACACGCTTTGGGACTCCAAGAGTGTTGATAAGTGACGGAGGAACTCACTTCTGTAATAAATTGCTGAATAATGTTCTTGCAAAGTATGGAGTTAAACACAAGGTTTCCACTGCCTATCACCCCCAGACGAGTGGTCAAGTGGAAGTTTCAAACAGAGAGGTAAAGCAGATTTTGGAGAAAACAGTAAGTGGAAATAGAAAGGACTGGGCTGGGAAGCTGGACGATGCATTATGGCATATCGCACTGCATACAAGACCCCCCATAGGTACTTCTCCGTATAGGTTAGTTTATGGGAAGGCGCTTCACTTGCCTTTTGAGCTTGAACACAAATCCTATTGGGCGATTAAAAAGCTAAATATGGAGATGGACTTAGCGGGTGAGAAGAAGTTGCTACAACTCAACGAGCTTGATGAGTTCCGGTTGCACGCGTAAGAAAACACCAAATTGTATAAAGAAAAGACCAAGAGGTGCCATGATAAGTATATCCAACATCGCGAGTTTAAGCCAGGTCAAGAAGTTCTCTTGTTCAATTCGAGGCTAAAGCTTTTTCCCGGAAAGCTTAAATCTCGATGGTCGGGTCCTTTTGAATTGGTTAGTGTGAAACCTCATGGAGCGGTGGAATTGCGTTATACGAGTTCCAATGCGACATTCTTGGTAAATGGCCAGAGAGTAAAACATTATTGGGGTCATGACATTGCACGTCACAAGACCTCGATTGACTTGGCTGAGGCATGAAGAACGTGTTGCGTCGTGCTGCGACGTTAAATCAGGCGCTTCTTGGGAGGCAACCCAAGTATTTTCTTTTGTTCTCGTCGTTTGTTCATTTTTCCCGTTTGCTTTGTATTACTGATTTTTTCTTTTTTCATTTTTGTAGGAATTAGCTCTTGTATGTATAAAAAAAATAAAAAAAAATAAAATAAATAAAAAGCTCCAGGTATGGGAAAACAGGGTGGATGCGTCGCATCCCCCTTAGTGTGAAAAAAAATAACAGGGTAACTGCTCAAGGCAGTGAACTCTGCCTATAACGTCCACAGCAGCGTCCAAAAAAATTCAGGGACATCGCTTTGGACGCGTCGCGTCCGTTGCTTCCAGCCCAGGTAAGTGTTACATTAAAACACTTTCGACACCTAAATCGCCTCCTTCAATCTTTTCCTCTCAACCCGTCGCCCCTCACTGCCTCCCACCTTAACGATCACAGGTAATTTCTCTCCCTCTTCTCTCTTCTTCTCTCTCCTAACTCTCCCCTATTCTCTCTCTTATTGGTACCAACAGATTCCCCGCCCAAATTCCCCTAGGTTAGGTTTCACCAAGTTGAATACAACACATGTGATTAAGAGATGAACTGGAAAAAATTTGAGGCTTGTGGGTGTCGTTCTTGTTGTTTGTGATTGTTGTGAGATGATAAACTAGAATTCCCTTCATCTCGTTAATTTTGGGAGTTAATCGAATTGCCCAATTGATAGAACAAACTAGG